AGTTCTTCATGACATGTATTGACTGTAAGACACAAAGCGTACAGGATCTAAGTGTGATGTTAAAGGTCAACACGCAAATATTGAAATTGGGTATGTTCGTGGATTGACTTATAGAATGTTGTTAATATTTCCATTTAAATAAATACAAAAAGCAATTCGAAAAATAAACTATAGGTAAAGGAACCATCTCAGTGAATAAAGCTATTAATATGCCGTTAACCCGTGAGGCAAACCGAATGATGTTTTATAGTAAATTAGACGAATAAAACATATAACGTTGCCATCTCGACCCTGATGCCCATGAACACAAATGACGAGTTTAAGACAAACCAATTGCGGAATGGAATTGATTAATGCAATATATATTTTATTATGTATTGACAATACTTTTCTGGTTAGATTTTAGCCTAAACACGACATGTGTGTTGGTGACAATTTTGGCAGTCATATCTGAATGACTCAAAAACTGTTTATATTTCTTTAACTTTTGGTATACCTAAATTCGGGCTATTATTTATGGTAGAAAGATATAATAAAATGACCTAAAGCTTTAAAACATATTTTTAAATATGTTGAGGCACCCTAAATTGAATTTGAAGCACCAGGGATAAATAAATAAAAATAGCTATAATGCATGATTTTATTGTAACTAGTGAACTGATAAATATTGTACAATTTATCTAAAGAGTACATTTATGAAAACGTGGTACTTTTCTGATATCTAGTTAAATTAACACTTACCCAGATCTTGGCATAAGCATGACTTAAAATGAACACGGCTAAAACACTTCCGTGCGAATCAAGAATTCTTTATGTAAGAATATAGCTTTATAAGACCGTAAATGCACCACACATTATGTCTCCATAAGATGGTAGCTATAATCTTTCAATCCAATCCCCTAATTAAGTATACCCCCACCCAATCATAAAAAAAATAATAACATAGCAAAACGGTGTTTAATTCTGATCATCTAAATTATCAAATGATATTCGCCGAAGTAGTAACTGAGAAGGGCGTGTTTTAAGATATACATAATGTATCTTACTATTTTTCGCTTATATAATTTGATTTTCAAATACAAACCATTAATACTTATCTTAGCATTAAAACAATCAACCATTTGTGGTTATATTGAAATCTGTAAAGGACGCATTCTTTTTGAATATATTTTTAAAAAATAATAAATGGGAAAAAACATATTATTAACGCTTTTTCAACAAGCAATTGTTATACTCTTAGTGATTTGTAGAGCGTCAAATCACAATGTTATTGCACTGTTTTAAATTGTAGATTTTATTCATTCATGTAAAACATTTATTACAATTTTATAATAAAATGTATAAAACACTGAGTTCGAGATTCAAATCACAAACCCATCCAAGCTAGGATACTGCAAATCCGAATATTTTTGTTTATAAAATATTTACTTTCCATTCAATAAATATTCCAGTCATCTAGTTTTGGATTTGGGGAAATTCATTCTCCTTTTCCCATATATACAGATTGCCGTATTATTTAATAATCAAACCAAACAGCATGTAATCAAAGAACGCTTGTATCCGCCATATGTAATATTGTCACGTGACATTGTTATGTTTTGTTTCGCTCGGGAAGCGTTTATTATACATAATAGAACTCCAGTGTAGTAAGCCATAACTATGAACAATATCATGTCCCAAATAAATAATCTAATTTGTAGATCTGCAATTGGTCACATGATGGTCCGAACATTATTTGTATGGCTCTATTTGTTGACAGCAAATACCGCTAATAATTATCTTGGATAAAATACCTCGTTTAGTAAACGAGGCAATTTTACCCAGCCTCGTTCTGAACAAAATACCTCGTTCCAAAAAACAGGGCAATTTAAAAAAAAAACACGTTTTGGAACTCCAGAGAAACGAGGTATTTTTTTTACCTCGTTACAGCGAGGCAAAATCGGGGCAAAAATTTTGACACGTTTTTGCCTCGTTTGGACAGAAATGCCGAACGAGGCATTCTGAGGTTTATAGTGATACACCAGTACGGGTTCTTCGTCGCAGAAGACACTAACGTCGGCATCGTCTGAGATGGAGGACTCCATAACCGGAACTGGCACATCGTATCGGGTTTCGGCTGTAAACGATTCTTCTACTTCCATAGGTTCAGTTGTTGGGACCTCCATAACTTCTTCTTGTTGTTCGTCCATATCTTCCGTCTGCTTATTAGATTTGAGGTTGTTTTTTTAAACATAAATTAGATTACAATTCAACTAACACAAAAGTGTAAAAAGATTTTTTTCTAGTCTGTGCCCGCGTTTATGTCTACTCTTGGCAAAATCGTTATAATATAAAAAAAATCATGAAACAAGAATCAAAATGGCCGCCAATCGGGTCCCCAACGCCAATCCAACCTCCCAAGATATAATTTCAAAACAGATTCTTACCTGCTGGTTCAAGTCGAACCGTTTCTGCTTTAATCATAATGTGATTCTGTAATGTAAGTATTTGAACAACATCGTAGCGCCGAACAACTAATGTTAATTAAGCATGATTTCAGAAAAATTGAACAGATTTGATAATAACATGCCGAAATTTTTTTCCTGACCGCGCCATATTATAAACATGAACTTCCGGTTTAAATTGTTGGGTTTTTTTTAAGGAAACGAAATACTAATATTATACAGAGAAACAATATCGATGCTAAATTACATACATGGTATTATTTTTTATATATAAATATTCACAAACCTGCGGTCTTGTATTCTATGTGACCATTAGCTTACATTTGTCAAACATATCACTGCTCCAAAATCATTTCAGCACGTTGTTAAATGTTAAATTAATTGTGTGAAATCACTTCATTTAATGTCCGCTTCCACCGAGATGATATCGCAGACAAAATGTAGTCTATAGTACGTTGATTTTATCAACCAATCACATTCAATAACAGTTTTACTTATTTTCTTGTCAACGCATTTGGAGTCAATTGTTAAAATCACACCGGGCATGAGCGCTCAACAGGCCTTTGATCTACCAGTTTATTGGGCCCAACTTTATTTTAACTACAGACATCTTAACACCAATTAGCATTAAAGTCTGTCTGGCTATATTGTCTGAGTAAAAAATACCTTTCTCTTACTTGTGGACCCCCGGATTAAGACTTTGTATGGAGTTCAAATTTAAAAAAAAAAATATTTGTTGACGGTACACATTACTTGTGTTAATTATATGGTAAAAACACAAGATTTGTGTTAATGCATTAAAAAGAACACAAGTTTGTGTTAATGCAATGCAAAACAACACATAACTTGTGTAGAATAATTTTCACACAAGTACTTGTGTTGTGATCCAACACAAGTTTTTTTTCAGTGCAGGTGCCGCATAGGTCCCAGAGGCTCTTGTGGGTGTAGAACTACTTAGCAATGAAGTGAAATGTTATTTTTCTAATCCCCTTCCACGAAAACGCAGTGATGTTGGACATGACAAATATATGCATAATAATACAAAGGTTGTGTACACTCTATAGCCTCATAGGCGTACAAGCCGGTGGAGGGGCAGCTGACCCCCTAACTTTCGGGCAATCTGATTTTTCGGGCAGACGGGTAAAGGGAAAAGAAAAATTATTATTTCATCCAGTGCTCAAAATCTAATAAAACGCTAATTTTTGATTGAATACAACGAGTTTGTACTGACTTTACTATGGATTAAAGCATTTTGGCTACTTTTGACGACATTTTTCGGGCATCGATTATTATTTGTGAATGCAGCTGCAACGGTCTGATTGGATGGTTGGAATTCAGGTCGGCATAGAGCGGGATATCGGTTGCAAACCGCTTTGAAATTTTGAAATTTCTTAAAGTAGCTAAGTCTCTAACTCAGCATCATACAAAGTCTTCGACATTGAAAACACGAATTATTTGTCAATTTAACAACTGGCGTGGTTAACCCTAACCCACAATCCTCGGCAACAATCACGTGCCCTAACCCTGTTTGCATCTCGTGACCTTGACGAAATCTTGATGTAACTTAAAATATGGATTTATATCCCAAAGATTGGCGAGTATTGGACCGTAACTTTCTGGATTATGACCGCTTGATTGTACGAAATATCACGTTTTTTAGCTCATGGGCCCTTTAGGGGTCACAATGCATCATCCCCTAATGTGGAGATCATTTCGGCATGTATTTGTATTGGGTTAGTCCTTTCAGTTGCAGGTACTTGCTGACTGCCTTATTGCAAGTTTGTCCATTTCTGGTGATTTCAATGGGTATAGGTTCAAAAGATGGTCTGGTACGAGGACAATGCCAACACTACAGTTGTAGTTCTCATGTCTATGATTCATTCAATGATTTTTTGTACTTGTTGGTGGTAAAAGTTTGTTTCAACTCAATCGATCTATTCTTTTGAGACTTAGAACTAACAGCAAACCCTTTTATTCAAAAGTTTCAGAGTAGTCCGCCGCGACCCCACGAAGAGTGGTCCACGACCCAAGTTGCAATCGCGACCCATAGGTTGGGAACCCAGGCAATAAATAGACTAAGCATTATATGTTTACGACACCAACAATGCGGTTGTATAAGAAATGGCTTCTTTAATTAAATGCATCTATAAATCTCAGTATAATAATTGAAAACAAAACCCCACGAAATGAAAGAAATGCTGTTTAACGTCAAACTTTTCTGCTAAGACCGAGCTAATGAAGACGGACATACGCCATACGGTGTGCTACGAAGGAAATTTTGTCCGGACAGTGGAGCTACGGCCTACTCTCATATCGAATTCAAACTGTCGAGGGTTCTTTTACGTTCACGCCAACATGTAGACGGGACATCGTTTTTGTCGTCCCCCGAACGACTATACATTGTCCTTTACGGACACGAAACGCTTTCCCCAACCCTACTGCCGTTTCAGGGTCTTTTTCGTTCACCTTTTTCGTTCAAATCTTTTTTTGAGATTGATATTAAACAGATAAGACTCAATAACATTTAGAATGTCAGGGTTTTTTTTCTATTTGCAGAATACCTGGAACAAAATATCAGATTCAAAATGTTGCTGTCACTTTTCATTATCTCGACTGCCGTTACTGGTCTTGCTCTTTATAAAACCATTGTTTTTATATTGAACCAAATGTCCAAACTTATTTTACCACTGGAATTCCAATTTATTGGAAAGCTAATCAATGGCAAGGCGCACATGGACGCGGATTCTGGAAAGCCAACTAAAACGACTGACCCACTGAAAGATCCAACAACGCCGGTACCAGCAAGCGTCAACTATCATTTTACTCGACAATGTAACTATAAATGTGGGTTTTGCTTCCATACAGCCAAATCATCATTTGTTTTACCTCTAGATGAAGCTAAGCATGGATTGAAGATTTTGAAGCAAGCAGGTGAGTCTTTAGATTTGGAGTGTTTTTCTGCGTGGGTGGGGGTGGGTATGGTCCAATGGTCTACGCAAGCGCTTTCTGCAATCTGAATGTCTATCACTGAGTCAAGTGGCGTGGTTTCAACCAGTAGCCCATACATGCCAAGAAGTAGGGTCGCCTGTCAAAAACCTCGTGGGGGTTCTCCGTACCCCCCCCCCCCCACAAAGACATCTACGCACAATCGAATTATTGAAATAAAACTGGACCATATGTTAATCCCCAAAATTATCCTCCCCAAGTCTCATATAACAAAGTTTGATCTTCGGAGGAATTATCAGTGAGCAGAAATTCGCCCGTGTATCTGTTATCACTCGTCACTCCAGTCAGTCATATAGAAGGATAACTCGTGTTTTCCTTTTGTGTTTGTCACTTCCGTTTGTAGAAACTTTCATTACGCATCTATCGTAGCAATGATCTCTGTGTTAAAATTATATTTGGAATGTGTTTAACCAGTTCTATCACATATGTGATAATGACAGACACCAATATTGTCCTTTAACCTACCAGTCAAATCCCTTGTTATAGAAAATTACACGAAATCGTTTGAAATATTTCATTATCGAGACGTTTCATCAGCTGTCTAATTAGTCAGAATTTAATGGAAACCTGTATGCATTAGCCCGGATTGGACAGAAGAGTATAATAATATGACGTTAAACCCGAATTCATTCATTAATAGAAGGTCGAACTAGATTTAATGGAGTGACTGACCCGATAACCAGAATAGAATGTAAACAACTTCTAGTTTTTTTATGTGATTTTAAATGACGTCACGCAAATTTCTCTATTGTTTCAGGAATGGAAAAGATAAATTTTTCGGGAGGTGAACCATTTTTACAAAACAAAGGCCATTTCGTTGGTGAACTAGTGAAATATTGTAAAGACAGCCTTCAATTACCCAGTGTTTCTATTGTCAGTAATGGCAGTCTCATTAAAAAGTCTTGGTTCCAGCAATACGGTGAGTACAGTAGAATCTGTAGGAGCAGCAACTCATTGTGAGCGGCATCTCTTTGTAAGCGACCAAATTGCCCCTCCTTCCTCCGTAGAAATTCATGTCTTTAAGAAATGGTCACATCTCTAACGCGGCCAGCGGTCACTATTTTAGTTATAAGTTTATCAAAACATATCCCATTCAACGCATCGATGCGTAAAACTTTAGTTGATGTCAGCACTTAACAAGCAATGAGACTTCTGCTGAATACAGATTTTACTGTATATCGAATTAAGGTTAACGGAAGTACGAATCGAACAATAAATTGCCCACCATTAAAAGGTCACACGCATTGAATACTTTATTGCAAACAGGAGTGGACAATACAGATTTATGGTGCTTAAAATTAAGTGAACAAGAAAAGGATTGGACCTGTTCCAGATATGCTATATTAATTGTAGCGAATGTTGTATTTGGTGCAAATAATAAGCTCCGTATGAAACTTAAGTCTAGCAATGCAGTCAACGTATCAGTCGTAATACTCAGGCTCTCTAATTCACAACTTGCATAGCGACATAACAATGATCCGTTCCGTACAATACCACCATATACAATTAAGTTCCTATACCAAGGCAACAGTTAGTAATGTTTACCTTAAAGTCAATAAACATCACGATATTAATTAATTTATTACAGGTACCTATCTTGATATTTTGGCCGTGTCATGTGACAGTTTTAATCCAGAGACAAACGAAATGATTGGTCGACAACAGGGAAAACGAAGTCACCTAACCTCGTTATACCAAGTTCGTGATTGGTGTACAGAATATAAGGTTTGCTTTCCTTGTAATTTATGGACAACGTTATTCGTCACAACAGTATTTACGAATAAAGATTACCTCAGTTACCACAATTTTTACGAATAACGATTACCCGGTAACCACAGTGTTTACGAATAAAGATTGTTTCAATATTATCTCGTAACCACTGTATTTACGAATAAAGATTATTTCTCAACCACGATGTTTACGAATAAAGATTAGTTCGTAAATACTGTATTTATGAATAAAGATTACATCGTAGATACCGTATTTATGGTTGTGTGATAGCTCAGTAGTAGAGCGTAGGGCCGGCAACAGCTTCGATTCCCGTTGGTTGCAAGGAAAAGTTAGACCCACAGGCCGTGCTACTGTCGATGATTGTATATGAACCCTCCCCTCCAGCTAACCCTAACCATGAGCTAGGTCAGTGCTTATATGGAGAGTTAAACGCTTAGTAAATTATGAAATCTAACACTAACTACGAGTAAATCTGTATGCAGCTTACCATAATCCAACCTTAACCCGAAACCTACTGTGGTTACGAATAACATCTTAATTTATTGTAAAGAACATTTCTCTGTATCAGTTCGTCATCAAGTTGCAGTTGAGATTCCTCGACATTTTTTTAGTAATGCGATAAAAAGACCCCGGGGAAATTTTCACACGTCAATCAAATCACTCTTATCAGTGTACGGTATCAAGAATACGCGATTATCGTATGAACAATTGAATAAACAGGACTACCACTGCTACAGTTAGAACTTAGACCAGCACTAGTCGTTGAGAGTCATTTTGTTATTTCGTATACGGTTTCCCCCCACTGCTAAAGACCCCTACGCGCAAGCGAATTATTGAAATAAAATTAAACCATATGTTAGTCCCGAAATGACATAGTTTGTGTCGAGTGGACGTTAAACCCCATTCCTCTCTCTCTCTCCTCTCTCTGTTATTTCGTAGTTTATAAAGTATACCACGAAGGAGTTTCCGCAGGGATCTGGGCGAAAGGAATTACAATTGACCTCTAGCCAATCATGTGAAATGAAATGGAATTTAACGTCCTAAATACTTTTCTGCATTACCCTTACCAATAAAGACGAGCGTATGCTGCTCACTGCGTTGTGATGGAGATTTATGGGTGTACACGGTGAACCATAGACAGTGTTCCTTGCCAGGCCCCTTTTCATATACCACTGATAAAGGTAAACATCACTTAAAAATAACTAGAGGAACTTTGTCGGCCAACACCGGAATCAAAACCAGGACCTCATAGTCAACCAGACCCATACTCACTGAGCCAACCTATTGAAGACCTGGTTCATTCAAACAATTTGTCGAGAGCTAAACTGAATTCCAAGTCACCATAATCGACGTACGAAACTATCGCTTGAGCTGTCTCCAAGGTAGCGGGTCCTATAGTTCAGAATGAACACTCAACATTCACACCATAAGTTAATAATTATCATAGTTCTGTCATGAAATGAAATGAAATTGGGTTTAACGCCCCGCTGATTTGCTCCGACTGGGCTAATGAAGACGGACATACGCTATGTGCTATGAGGGACATTTTGACCAGACAGCGGCGCTACGACCTACTCTTATATCGAATTCCAACTACCAAGGGTTCATTTTACGTTCATGCCAATGTGTACACGGGACCTGTCTGTCCTGCGCCATTGACAAGGGCGGAGGGGGCACGCCAACACAGTGATCGAACTCGGGACCTCCAGGTTATCGAGCCAACGTCTAACTCACTGAGTCACCATGGCTCCAGTTTTATTATGAATTTGGTATTAGATAAACAAATCATAACAACTTCTATATTGTAGGTGGCCTTTAAATTAAACACAGTGGTTAATACATATAACATAGATGAAGATATGGCTGTTTCTGTAGAGAGTTTAAACCCCTGTAGATGGAAGGTATATTCAGTTAGAAATAATTTAGAAATTTGTAAAAAAAAAAAAAAAAAAAGAATAAATGAAATGAAATGAAATGGGGTTTAACGTCCTACTCTTCTGCTCCGAACTGGGCTAATGAAGACGGGCATACGCCATACAGTGTGCTATGAGGGAAATTTTGCCCGGACAGCGGCGCTACTGCCTACTCTTATATCGAATTCCAACTGTCAAGGGATCTTTTACGTGCACGCCAATGTGTACACGGGACCTTTGTTTTTCGTCCCACCCTAACGACTAGACAGCTGTCCTTGTCAGGCCCTCCATCCTGCATCATTGACAAGGGGGAACCACGCCGGAAAATCTGGATGAACTTTCTCGGCCAATGCAGGGATCGAAGAAACAGAACAAGAACAGCAGACTCTGCTGCAATTCAGATCCGTCCGTTATTTTCCGATAGTTATAACCCCTGTCATCGATATCTTGTCATTGTTTTTGAAATGTTGTGAAAAACTTTTTTTCAGATTTTTTTGACTGGTCAGATATATTTTTCTTAAAACCTGTTAAGTTTTTTTTACTAGTCATATACCTTTATGAAACGATTATTTGACAGTCATATAGGTTTTTTTTTAACTTGTTGGGATTGTTTGACTAGTCATATAGTTGTTTGATTAGTAGTCATAAACATGAACTTGATCAAAATTTAGATTTTGATGGATTCAAGTGGGTTTAATGAGATGACAAGATTGAATTGAGTGTCACGTTGTCAATAAAATTAATATAGAGACTACTTTAACTTTTGATTATATATTTGTTTGTTGTTTATTTAAGGTATTCCAGTGTTTAATACTTGATGGAGAAAATGCCGGAGCAGACGCTTTGAGAGATGCAAGTCGTTTTGTTATACAAGACGAACAGTTTAATGATTTTTTAAATCGTCACGCGCATGTCCCGTGTCTGGTGCCAGAATCTAACGAAAAGGTACGATACTAATATATTATATATAACAAAGGCGGATCACGGAAGTTCTCTCCCCTTAACAGGATTTCAAGATTTGTTTCTTTCAAAATGTAATCACAGGCCTTATTTGTATAGTTTGTTTGTGGCAGCCATAGGGACGGGGTGGGGTGCGGGGGATACGCGAACTGTTAAATAAAGTAGTGCTTTTGTGGAAAACATCGTGCCGGGCGTCTTGTGTCACACTACTGTCTGGATAGAAATGCAGAAAACCAAGGGGGTGCTCGATTGTCAGTCCAGAACACTCCGAATTGATGGAATTGAAATCTTGTGACGCGGAATTCAGTCCTGTCACGGTTCTGTCAGCCCTGACAACGGAGGTGGTGTGAGTAGAATCGTGACGTAATTAAACCTAATTCAATTTGACAGAATTCAATTTCGGAACGTTCAATCGAACATTCTCCAAAAGTGCCACAAGGGCGGACAACCCATCCCCAACTTTCCACCTACTACCAGCATTTCAGAATAGCAGGCCACAGAAGTGTTCTCTTGTTGTTATCGGGCAAAATACTTATTTTTCTTGAGAGGCAATGCGTCTTTAATATAATTTTGCCCTAACGTTTTATTTATTTCAGATGCAGAATTCATATCTGATACTGGATGAATGCGTAAGTAATTTCTTTTTGGATTCAACCATCTGGATATTAAGTGAGAGAGAGAGAGAGAGAGAGAGAGAGAGAGAGAGAGAAGGGGTGGATAACGTTCACTTGACCACCCGACACAAACTTGGTCATATCCTGATTAACACATGGTTCAGTTTAATTTCAATAATTGGCATGCGCGTAAGGGCCTTAATCTGTTGATGGTATTGGAGGATCCGGAGAAAACCCGTATGTTCCATATGAAACGTAGAACCACATAAGTACGTAACTGATTATTTTTCACTCTAGCCCCAAGCGTAAGGAACCAGGCCAACCCATGTACCGAGCCAGTTCCGATGTAATTAAGTTCATCAAATCATATCAAGTGGCGACGACTCACAAAGTTTTAATGTCCCCTTACGTTTGACTTACTGTGTGTGCCGTCGAAAATAAAATTCGCCTTTTTGTATTTATGAACAGACAAGTATAATCTCGTATCAAAGTCATTTTGTTTTCAATTTCAGATGAGATTTTTAGATTGTCGGGACGGTAAAAAGATTCCATCTAAATCTATATTAGATGTGGGCGTGGACCAGGCTTTATTATTCAGCGGATTTGACGAATCTATGTTTTTAAAACGTGGTGGCAGATATACATGGTCCAAAGCAGACATGACACTCGATTGGTGATTGGTTTATCTCGTTTTGACAAATATCCACCCAGCATTATATTTTTTAAAGATGAAAGATTAAGATAAAAAGCGGACATGTTCTTCTTATAATAGTTCAAAATAGATAATATAAGCTAGTCCCGATTGTCAAGTACCATTTCTACGATAATCCATTTTATCGTTATATTGTTATAATCCATTCAATATCACGATCATGGGATGGTCTAGAGAATTAATTATGGGCTTATCATGTTAATAAATGCCCCCAAAATAGCTTGTAGAACATTAAAAGTCAAAAATAGACCTGCACTAGGCAGATTTAGCTCTTACATAATGCATCTTTTTTTTAAAACATTTAGCTGCCCTTATGTGTTATCCGTCATAAAACGTGGTTCGTACATTAAAGAATGTGCAATTCTTTATAGTATCTATCTTGAAAACAAGCCACAACTGACCTTAAAAATATTTACATTACATGTATATCTATAGTGGGGAATGCAAAAAAAAAAAAAAAAATACTCAGATGTATACTTTAAAGTATTAGTTTTAATCAAAATAATTATAATAATAATAGTATAATAATAATAAAAACTTTATTTAATGAGGCAACTTATTTAGTTTGCAAAAAACCCCCCTAATCTTCCATAAGTCCCTCATAAGCTACAATAATGATCTCATGTTTATGCGCCAACGCGTAGTTTGAGCGTAACTGGAAATAATCATATAATTTACATCCATGTACATTACTGCCGAGTATTAATATCACATTTTAAATTTTAAATTGCTTGGTTATCCTTTAAAAAAGTTTGCACATTTATTGTTATTTATGAACACTTTTTAATATTTTTTTTTATTCATTGTTTTATACTTTTAACTCTGAGCACCTTTCAAAATAATTAAATATTTACATACATATTCATTTATCACCGATTTTTACTATGATTTTTGGAATTTTATACTATGAGGTTTAAGGTATTGACGCTATTATTAGAACACGGATTTTTACTATCATTTTTGGTATTTCATGCTATGAGGTTTGAGGTATTGACGTTATTATTACAACACTTTATACGGTTATTATTGTTCATGCAGGTGGAATTCGATATACGATTAGGCCATATAATGCCACTGTCCGGGCAAAATTCCCCCATAGCACACTGTATTGCAAATGCCCATCTTCATTAGCCCATTTGGAACAGAACAGTAGGACTTTTAACCCCATTTCGTTTCATTTCGACTCAAAACCCCATCATACAGAAATCTTCCCCAAATCTTTTTAAAGACTTTGACCATCGAATACATGAAAGGAAAATAATAGTTAATTTTAATTAGATTGGGGTTTAAATATATTGCACATATAGTTTTATAAGTATACCTTCTCTGCAATACATTGTTGTATTCTTTTCTGTTATTTTAGTATTTGTTGTTATGATATTAAGAATTTGTTTTGTTATGATATAAAATAATCTGTTTTGTTATGATATTAAGAATCTATTTTTATACGCCCACATGGAAATGTGGTCGTATATTGCCGTCGCCCCCGTCCGTCCGTATGTCGGTCCGTCCGTCCGTCCGTCGTCCACAATTTCTTGTGAACACTCTACAGACTACATTTATCATCTGATTGTTTTGAAATTGATATATGTTGTTTGCATAAGTGAGATGAAGAAGCCTATTTAATTTCAATAACTTCCGTTAATTTCATCTGGAGTTATCGCCCTTGTTTCACGTTGTTGCACCTTGTGAACGCTCTAACGACAAAAGTTATCAACCGATCCGTATGAAATTTATATGCATCATTTAAATTAGTAAAACAAAGAAGCCTATTGAATTTCAGCAATTTCCGTTAATTACATCTAGAGTTATGGCCCTTGTTTCACTTTGTTGAATCTTGTGAACGCTCTAATGACAACCGTTATCATCCGATCTGTTTGAAATTGATATGCATCATTTAAATTAGTGAAACGAAGAAGCCTATTGAATTTGAGCAATCTCCGTTAATTACGTTGTGAGTTATGGCCCTTGTTTCACTTTGTTGTACCTTGTGAATGCTCTAACAACAAAAGTTATCAACCGATCTGTATGAAATTTATATGCATCATTTAAATTAGTAAAAAAAAAGAAGCCTATTGAATTTCAGCAATTTCCGTTATTTACATCTAGAGTTATGGCCCTTGTTTTACTTTGTTGAATCTTGTGAACGCTCTAATGACAACAGTTATCATCCGATCTGTTTGAAATTGACATGCATCATTTAAATTAGTAAAACGAAGAATCCTATTGAATTTCAGCAATTTCCTTTAATTACGCCGTGAGTTATGGCCCTTGTTTCACTTTGTTGTACCTTGTTTATGCTCTAACGACAAAAGTTATTATCCGATCTGTATGAAATGTATATGCATCATTTAGATTAGTAAAACAAAGAAGCTTATTGAATTTCAGCAATTTACGTTAATTACATCTAGAGTTATGGCCCTTGTTTCACTTTGTTGAATCTTTTGAACGCTCTTATGTCAGTTATCATCCGATCTGTTTGAAATTGATATGCATCATTTAAATTAGTGCAACGAAGATGCCTATTGAATTTCAACAATTTCCGTTAATTACACCGTGGGTAATGGCCCTTTTTTCACTTTGCTGTACCTTGTGAATGCTTTAACGACAAAAGTTATTATCCGATCTGTATGAAATTTATAGGTATCGTTTAAATTAGTAAAACGAACAAGCCTATTGAGTTTCAGCAAATTTCCGTTAATTACATCTAGAGTTATGGCCCTTGTTTCACATTGTTGAATCTTGTGAACGTTTGAACGACAAAAGTTATCACCCAATCTGTATGAAATTCATATGCACCATTTAAATTAGTGAAATGAAGAAGCCTATTAAATGTCAGCAATTTCTGTCAATTACTTCTAGAGTTAAGGCCCTTGTTTTACTTTATTGAACCGTGTGAACGTTCGAACGACAAAAGTTATCATCTGATCTGTATGAAATTGATATGTATTATTTGAATTAGTAAAACGAAAAAGTTTGTCGAATTTCAACCATTTCTGTAGATTACTTCTAGAGTTACAGCCCTTGTTTTAGTTTTTAGAACCTTGTGAACACTCAAACGACGAAAATTATAATGTCATCTGAATGAAATTGTCTATTAAATGCCCCCTAATTACCTACAAAAGAACAAATATACGACAACTCTTGTCGACCGCTCGGACGATTTAGCTGCTATGGGCGTATGTTTAGTTGCCTGGCAACCTATCTTGTTATGTTATTAAGAATCCGTTTCGTTATGTTATTAAGAATTCGTTTCGTTATGTTATTAAGAATTTGCTTTGCTATAATAATAAAAATTTGTTCTGTTACTCTCTGAACGTGTATTACTCTTATTGTTGTGTTTTTATTGTGCTTCTGGTGGATATAATATATGTCTGTGTTAAAACCTATGAACATCTTGAGAATGGGGTATGGAACAGTTTTATATAGTTGGAAGCGATTTGGTTTTATAGACAATATGGACGCTTTGAAAGATGGATGTCTATATAAAGGGCATGCCAAGTCACTGTCTCTGTACTTCTACCATATCAAATATATAAAAACTGTGAGCTATATGATTTTGGCACAATTCCATTCTATTGCCTATACCTTTCTACACATAGCTTCTGCACCCCCTATATGCCCCCGCCCCCAGCCTATCGAAGGAAATAGGGGTTTATTAAAATTGGTCCACCTGTCTTTCGGTCGGTCTGTCCGTTACACATATTGGGACGTCATAACTCTGCTTTTAAACTTTTAAAATTTGGATATGATGTGAGAGAGAGAGAGAGAGAGAGAGAGAGAGAGAGAGAGAGGAATGGGGTTTAACGTCAACTCGACACAAACTAGGTCATTTCGGGACTAACATGGTTTAATGTATTTCAATAATTCGCTTGCGCGTAGGGGTCTTTAGCAGTTCGAGGAAACCGGAGGAAACCCACGAGGTTGGACAGGCGATCCTAATCCTTGTCACGTACAACCGGGGATTCGAACCACGCCAGTTGACTCAATGACAGGCCTTATGATACAGCACGCACGTGCTAACCATTCGGCCATCCAACCCCCCCATAATCTAATGCAATAAACTGTTTCCCCTATCTGTCGCATTTTGTAAATGAGTGACCACCCAACACCTCTGACATTTGGGTTGTTTATCATTTAGTAAAGTTAGATCGAAGCCTGTTCTTTTTTGTTCTCTAACGTGGTTAAAAACAAGCAGAAACGGGTAATTAAAATTATTGATTTGAAAATGTACTTTGCCAATAGTTCTTCTGGAAGTCGTCAAAAAACCTCCACAAAAAACAACAGTTATTTCTTGTTATTGGCATCTGCCGATAATGCAATTTCCCCGAAGAAAAATAGATCATGACTAATGCCATTTTACTGTCAGTGAAAACACTTTTAAACTCAGTTAAAAATATTCGTTTTTTTAACATTAAAAAACAACCAACAAAATGACATACTGAAACATAGCGTTCAAATGTGTAGGCGACGATATGTTTATAATTCCGAGCTGCAAGTCACGGTGGCTAAGTCGGTAAGATGCTGGCTCGCTAGCCTGGAGGTCAGGTGTTCGATCCCTGCATTGGCCGAGAAAGTCCATCCAGATTTTCCGGCGTGTTTCCCCCTTGACAGTGATGCAGGACGGAAGGCCTGACAAGGACAGCTGTCTAGTCGTTCGGATGGGACGAAAAACAGAAGTCCCGTGTACACATTGGCGTGCACGTAAAAGATCCCTTGGCAGTTGGAATTCGATATAAGAGTAGGCCGTAGCGCCGCTGCCCGGGCAAAATTGCCCGCATAGCACACTGTATGGCGTATGTCTGTCTTCATTAGCCCAGTTTTTGGAGCAGAACAGTAGGACCTTAAACCCCATATCATTTCATTTCATTTCGTTATTCGTGATGTTTAACGTCCGCTTCCTCCGGGAGACAGGTTGTTTTATTTTTATTCCGGAAACCGGATTATCCGGAGAAAACCCACGAGGTTGAGAATGCTTCCCTATCGAAACCACTACCGCAAGCTTGAAGTGACCTTAACACATTCCTTTATGGCGCGAGCTCAGTAATGCGCAGATTGTGATTGGCCGATTGCAGATCAAACTACCAGCCAATACTGACCAGTCTTTTGAAAGGCTAAAATATTTATATGATCAACTTAAAGTGGCTAAGTCTCCAACCAAATATCATCCAAAGTCGTCGACATTGAAAATACGAATTATTTATCAATTTAAATCAACATTGATGTTGTGATCTTAACGGGTAAAGATGGACTTCTGATATCCAATATGGTAAAATCGTGTACTATAATGCGTTTCAGTGCTATTTGTAACATGGACTCGAAGAACGAGGCTAGACATATTCAATGGTTAGGTCTATTTGACAAACCAAACTTCAATCTCGCCAGCAATCACATGGCCTACCCTTATTGACATCTCAGCGACTATGAGGGAAATTAAGATGGCTTTAACAAATAGATCTACCCCTATTCCACAAGTCATGTCGAACGGTGACGTCATATTCTTATCTGGAGAGTATGCGCAATAAATACTGTCGATGTAGACTGGAATAACCAGACGCTAGATATTGCCACTCGATTCGTATTCCGCGAACATAATTGATTTGAAATTAGAGTAAAAACGGAAACGATTGATTGTAAATCAGTTTATACACATTCATATCACATTATTATAGGCGTTGTGACCCACATTTGTCAATTTCTAGGTCCCAAATATTAGCGATTTAGCTCCTTTAATCTAGCCTATGCAATTGAAAAACTGGATCAGACATTTAGACAATAAAATTACACACAAAAAACTATTTCAAACGCTATATTTCTCTAAGTACAAAAAAATGTTTATAAGATCAACATAAGTTATAAATCTAAAGTTACGATGCCGGAATGACGTGGGGATTAGAATACAAATTGTTCCCATGGGGAGATAACTCACTTGACACAGGTGGAATAAGATTGATGGCCTAATTAACAGAGCTTGCTTTATTCAAATACTAGTATCAGAAAAAGCCTTGCATTCACAGCAGTCTACTTAGTGAAGAAAGTGGGTTTAAGGCAGAGTCCCTTAGCAACTTTAATTGCTGAGATTAGGACGTTTACAATAAACGTCATAATACCGTAAAAACACAGCATGTTCATCTGAGCCTTTCCATCAGCCTATCTATTTGTTGGTCGTTTAACGTCTACCTTAGCGGACTGGGTCTCAAATCCGCCCATGGCATACTTCAACCCATTATTTATTAATTGTTTTTCGACCGTATTTTGTATCCAGACCAGCTGGTCATATTTTTACCTGACGGTCCGAGTCAACCAGGTATCGCTAACTACCCAATCGCCATTCCTCGATATATTTCGGTCATTTCCGGTGCATTTGAGTTAACCCAGAATGTGGGCGATGTTTTTGCCCATTAGGCAGTGCAATATTTACCTACAGGCCTTTACATCCAGTGCAACATTTACCTATAGGCTTGGCAGGATGAAGTCCAGGGCCTCAAGATGTAGAGGGCGGGCCTCCGGCAAAGATGTATTATATACTTACACAGTACTTTTAAATACCCGTCACCGTCCTAGACTTTGCTTAGTTGTGTTTAAAACTCATTTTCATCTTCCCCTAGTCGTGGGGGGTGGGGGTGGGGGGATTGGGAGGCGTCCCATAAGTGGGATAGCCAAGGGCCTCTCTACATCTTAACTTGACACTGCCATTAAGATGTAAACACTCTAGATAAAAGTGTGTTGATGCTGCCATTAAGATGTAAACACTCTAGATAAAAGTGTCCCGGACGGGACGATAAACCGATGTCCCATGTACACATTGGCGTGCACGTAAGAGAACCTTTGACAGTTGGAATTTTAAAAAACGTAGGCCGTAGCGCTGTCGTCCGGGCAAAATTTCCCTTATTTTATAAAACACTGTACGGCGTATGCCTGTCTGCATTAGCCCAGTCGTTCAGGAACAGTAGGCCTAGGACGTTAAACCCAAGTGCGTTTGGTTAAAATAAGTTATATATCTACCATCTACGAATGAAGGTCCATTTACAGTTTGGGTACAAGATTCTGCCTTGATACGATTGGCTGGGGTTCGTAACTTGATCGACTTTTGGCTAAAGGTTTCTCATATAGCCTTTTATTACTGACTGTTTGTCTTCAAAAGGACTGGCTTGGATTCGTACCAGGATAGAAGTTTGAAACACACGGTCGTGTTACTCGCCCAGAACATACCTCAGAACGCACCAAATCGAATCCGCTTTTCCAAATTTTCTATTTTCTTAGGTAGAACCCCAACACGTCCATTTCGGGAGATTCGCGCCACACTGCAAGACCCTAAGCATTTGTTCTTATTTTAGCCCCCCCCCCCCCGCTGTCCAATTGATGTGTTGATCATTTGAAGTGATAGAACACCAGTTATTGGTACCGATAACAGGTACAGGACGATTTTCAGCTCACTGATAATTCCTCTGACGAAGAAAAGTTGTTATATGAAACTGTGAGAGGATACCTGTTTGATACAAAATATTGATCAGGAAAAATGTCTGTCACTAGATTAGAATAGCGGATAAAAAGAAAAGAAAAATCAGTCAGTGGATCACCTAGTTTTGATTAATTCTCGACTCATATTTTACACGATGGCTACAGTTTAATCTTGTAATCCTATAAATAAGCTAGTTTGCATGACGTTGGCTCGAAGCACTGGTTTGACACCTATGTTGTCCGGTCCTATAAATAAGCTAGTATGCAGTGGCACTGGTTCGACACCTAGCTATGTTGTCCGAGTAAGGTCCTGGGGATTTCCCCGGTTGATTTCTTCTTGTTGGTGGCATAAGACGAAGGGCCGGCCTATTGGCAAGAACAAACGTCTAATTAGGACGAAAACCGAGACATCATGTATACCATTTACGATGCGTTAAAGGTCCCTCTCTTCTCTCTTTTCCATGGTCATTTTTGATGATTTTTTGGTCTAGAATGGAAGAATGGGGTTTGAATTAACATTTAAAGCTGGTTTTTTTTGCAAATATTCATAATATAGAAGCGGAAGGATAACAGAGTTATCGGGTTGGTTACGGTTACATGTACGGCGAAAAGTTACATGTATTTAGTATGTTACTTCAAGTTGGGTATCTCAAAATTTTGTTGGTCAACCTCATACACAATTTGGTGCAAAGACATGACTGTTTGTTTCTCTGTCGGTAGTGAAAAGCATTCAGCCTAACGAAAATTTGGGAAAAGATGGGGCCGGGCAAACAGCCAGAACTAACATTGGAGTCAATGGGGAAATTAATGGTGGTCTGCCTCCAGTTGGAAAGTAAGAGTTGTCCGTTCTAA